CCTGGATGTCCCAGATACTGTACTGATTCTCTGACCCCCCTGTCAGTGAATTAGGACCACCAGGTCCAGAACTATGAAGTGTCATCCGCTCTGCCATGACAAGCCTTAGCTATACGTTCACTATTTTTTTTTTTTGTATGCTATGTCATGAAAAATATTTTGACATTTTATATCAGGTGGAATAACACAAATATTGGAGGCACCTCTTTGAGCCCTGTCTCAACAGGAAGAATGCCTTTCTGTAAACTCTGTGTTCCCAGGATTCATTCATACACATGCTACCTTCATGATTTTCCCATACCCATTTGACACCTGTATCACTATTTATGTAATTTTTTCTTTTAAATTGGCTAGTTTCAAAGTTAAATTTGTTTTGAAAGAAAATTAATATCACCACTAGAGTTGGAAAACCAGTGTCACCTGGCATAAAATGGAAGACAGTGATACCATAAATATGCAATTAGTAAGATAAAAAGGTTTTGTCCTTGAACCACATCGAAGTGTCGCACATACCACCCTTAGAGGAAACAACTGTTTTGACTTACCATCTTCCCAGAAAGCAAGTACAAACCATTCTTCTTTTTTCTTTTCAAATTCTACTAATTAAATTCTACTACTAGATTAGTTCTACTAATCTCTGAAGAATTTCAGCCTTTCTGTAGGAATTACCTATGGATAGCAACTCTCTGTATGGATATACTTGTAGCTATAATAAATTGTCATAAATCAATAGATTAAGCCATAACAGTTGAGGTACACATGAAGGTGCCTGAGTATAGGGTGAGCACTGGTTCTTGGGACCCTGGAGTTGTGGAAGTTGTAGGGTCTGCTCAGAAGACAGAGGCATGAACTGAGTCCGAAAAGAGTTGAAGCAGAGCTCAATTGGGCAAGCTTGGGAGGGTGTGAGGTGCAAGTGAGAATGAGAATACAATTAGACTATGATGATAATTGGTGTGTTACACAAGGGGGAAGAGCGATGGAAAGTCCTTATACACCCTTTTAGTGGAACTGCAAGCCATTTTAGTGTGGCTGATGCCCAGGTATGTGAAGGATTGTGGTGGACATGGGCAGTGGTGGGGAATGAACATCCTCCTAGGGGCAATACTGGTGGAATACAGGCAGAGGAGAGACATAATGCACTTAGCCTCAATTTTCTTCTGAAGATCTTGCTGGAGACAGTGGAATATGGAAGGGTAGGATGTGAAACAGAAAGACCTGTGACATGCATCTGTCAAAGGGGAGAAGATGAGTGTTTAGTCCGAGGCCTTGGTAGGCAGGACACGGTGGCATTTCATGTTTTTCAGAGCACATGTGGAGGGTATTCTTGTTTTGCGCATGAGCTTGTGATGTGTAGTTGGAAGGTATTGGAAAACTGACAACTGAGAGTTTACTCAGAGCCATGCTGCATATTAGTGGTAGGGATATTGATTGGTAAAGATAGATTTGCCTCAAAAAAAAAAAAAAAAAAAAAAGCTTTCAATTAAACATATGCCCAAGGAGGAAAAAAAAAGATCGTATAAATTAGCTACACATGCCAAAAGTTGAGGGGGTGTAGTTATGAATAATTTCTCTGATTGCTTTCCCTGGCCGCTTTGAGTCAGCAGCCGCCTTGATGGGAAGGCCAGCCGGGCTGTTTGTTCCTTCCTTGACCAGCGTTTACAGCTCCTCTCCCCTGCATCCCTGTATCGTTTGTTGTTTGTACCACTCCTTTGGCACTTGAAGCATTTCATATTTTTAGTTGCTTTCCTGAATTCGTGCTGTCATCTCTGCTGGCTCAGGATTTGGCAGTTGCTCGTTGGGGGCTGCCTTTATAGGACTTACAGTTCACTGTTTTTGCCTGGCTACCCAGATTGTATGTCACTTTTTGGCAAATATGAGGAACCGTTGTAAGTCAGTCACTTCCTACCTTGGCAACACAAGTCACCTCCTGATGTGCTCACCTCCCACCCACCCTGGTCTTTCCTTCCAGGCTTCCCACCGCCCTGTGCCCCACTCTTAACCTCTAGGGATCTCCCCTTCATGTCTCCAGCATGTGAGGCTCACTGTCATCCTTCCCTGCCCCACTCTCCCTCTGCCTGGAGTGAAGATCTCTCCATGGTGATTTGTCTTCCTCTCACCTTCATGCTCCCTCACAAATTGCTTATCTATGTGCACCCAACCCCTGGGTCCTGGAAAGCTCATTGTATTCTGGTAGCACCAGTTTATAGATTGTACTTGGGAAACCAGACAGATGGGTCCTTCTCTGCCCCCCCATCTTATGGCTTCTGTCTCTGACACAAGTTTATCATTTCAGTTTTATCCACCTCTCCTATTGCCCTGCTCCTCAGTATGGTCATCACTACTTCCTTTTCATTTGTATCCCTACTGCCAAGTATAACTTCTGACACACAGAGTTTAAAGGGTCACACGGTTATTGAGTCAGTGTTGAGCTAACAAGCAAACATTTAGTATTTCTACTTTTGCCTTTCAGGATATAAATAGTGGGGTGAAAAGGTATTGAGGTTCTTTTTAATTGGTAAAGATAGATTTGCCTCAAAAACAAAATAAAACAAAACAAAACAAAACAAAAAAACCTTTCAATTAAACATGGTTGGCAGGCTCAGTGGTGCATGCTTCTAATCCTAGTGGTTCAGGAGGGTAAGGCAGGAGGATCACAAATTCAAAGCCAGCCTAACTAACTTAGAGAGGTCCTAAGCAATTTAGTGAGACCTGTCTCAAAAGGAAAAAAAAAATTAAAGGGATAAGAATGTGGCTCAGTGGGTAAGTATCCTGGGTTCAATCCCTGGTATCAGAAAGAAAAAGAAAGAAACCATCATCTGAGGAAAGAAAGAAAGGGACTGTGTTGATCTTCTAGAATTTGATTTCCTTGAAAAACAAGAGCATGTCTAAGCTTTTTATTATCCTCAGCATTAATATAGCATTCCACACATAGTAGCTATAATGTACTTTTGACTGATGGACATGTGCTTTCCTTGACTAGAGGGAGTTCCAAGTGATTGCTACAGTTAGGTTTATTTTATTTCGGAGAAGCCTGGACAGAGTCAACCACTGACCAATGGTTGAAGAAACAGAGTTGTGACAAAGTCCCAGGCATAATCGATTAAGTGGTCTTTCTTTTTAAACTTGACTTCCTTTCTTAAAAGCTGGGGGTATTTAATAAGATTAAACTATGGGATAACATAAGGGAAAACTTCAGCTTTGTAGAGTGAAGTTCATTGTTGGGCGTCGTCAAATCTTATGTTTTAATCCACATTTTATTTTGCCTAGAAATAAAAAAAAAAAATCTGACTTTGTGTTACTGTTTACATTCACATAACCCTTCCCACACTCACTAGGCAAATTACTCCAAATAGCCTTCTGTGAGAATTTTAAAGAATTAAGCAAAGTTATTAAATGTGTTCCTGTGGAAAAAAATTAAGAGGTGGTGAAAAGCACATCTTTGTTTACCATAAATTTATTCATGTGGCCTGGCAAAGGTGCAGGGTTTAGGTGGTGTCTCTTACTACTGAAAAGAAGTAAAATATTTTTGTTTGAATGCTTCCTGGGATCTTACATGAGAAGCATGTAAGACCTCTGAGATGTTCCAGGTATTCTGGAAGCTGTGGTTGATGCCCAATATGGGCTGTTGATGATTTGTCAGGGAAGGTGATTGACACATTACAGTGCAGCTAGGCAATGGGCTAAGTGATTCAGAAGTAAGAAGGGTACCAACTAGAATTTTTAAAAATACAATTTAGACTACTTTCTGTTTTAAAAATAAACTCTTTAGTTGAATTTGTGAAGTTTAAAAAAAAAATTCTGTAGTATTTCTTGAACAGATGCTCCTTATCATATCTAATCTTCTGCATAAGTGGTTTGTATTTATATGGGATTCGCGAGAATGGTAGGTAATTTCTCACTGCTAGGTAATTTCTTTAATAAATGAAAAGGGGATTGAAGCTTTAAAGGTGTCTTGTAGGAACTAGGAAAACTTAACCATAATTGTGTGCATAGCTTCCTTCTGTCCTCTGCCATAACCCCTTATGTATTTAGGAGTAGAAATAAATTACATGGAGGAAGGGAAGAGAGCTGGAAGCCAAGTTATCCGCTGACTGCTCTACTGAATTTTTTTGATGAAGGGAAGGAAAGAATAGATGTTTTTGGTTTCATCTCGATGAAGGGAAGAATCAGTTTTCCAGTTGCAAATGATGAAGTGAATTATGTAATTTTGTTGGAAAAGGTTTCTAAGCCATGGGAAGTCATTCAGGAATAGAAGCTGAAAGTGTTCACTTTGATGTTTGCATAGGGGTAAGAGAAGAGTTCAGCTTTCTTTACTGTTCCTTTGCCTTCTGATGGCTATCCTCTCTACAGTTTGTTTTGTGCCTTCAATCTGAGAGTAATTAACAGAACCATCCAATGGAGAGTTGTGCCTGGTGGTTAGAGGGTATTCATGGCATGTAGAATGGATGAACAAGGAAATGCAATATTACATAATATATTAGCATCCCTCCCAGTGGAAAGGATTATTTTTAAACAATGATTCTTATTACAAAATAATTTTATAACAGAAAGCCTTATTTGGGGGGATGGTCTTAATTTATTTGCCTCTAACTCTAGTTTGAGGACAACTTTTTACTTCTATTTATGGTTGGAAATGACTAGATTCGTGTACTTTTTAGAGGTGTTTTGTTCTTCTCTGACAACCAGAGGAATTTTTATTTTAGATCACTCAATCTTTATTGGGCATTGCAGAGCTGTTTGTGTGTCCTGTCGGAGCATTTTGTTAGTACTCATGATTACATGAGAAGTTTTCACATACTTTCTTCTAATAAATATTTTCCTCCATTTCCCTACAGGCTGTATAGTTAGTATCTCCTTGTAGTTTCCAGAACGGCTTGAGGTATGAGGAAGGTGACTAGTACTTTATCCTGTCACATTATAACCTGTGAGACCCATCAATTAAATCTTAGGGGAACATTTACTATCTTGCTAACCCAGAACAATTCTTGTCCCATATGCAGGTATAGTGGAAGACTACAAGCCACCATTCTACGATGTAGTTCCCAATGACCCAAGTTTTGAAGATATGAGGAAAGTAGTGTGTGTGGATCAACAGAGGCCAAACATACCCAACAGATGGTTCTCAGACCCGGTGAGAGTTCTAGTTTCTTGGTTCTAGAGCTATTTTGGCTGCTTGTAATTTGCTTGCTTTTGATTTCAATAGATCTTTTGTATCTAAGCCATCTGCACTCTGTATTGGCCACTCTCCCTCCCTGTTTTTTGTAGAAGGCTCTTTGAGCCTGAGTAGATTTGGAAAATTGTCTTGTTCTTTAAGAAGTGCTGTCTGGTAGGTCTTACTAATGAGTGATACTATTCAGAAGAATTTATGACTGACCAGGGATTAGGAGACATATTACTGCTGCTATTAGCCCTGTGATTGCATTGAGATCTGGAGTGATGCTTTTCATCTCCTCTTTATCTCTGCTTACCTAAAATTCCAAACAAACTACTCAATGCTGTAGAGCCTGTCTTACTACACATAACTAGTAGCAGATCTAGGACTTTGGGAAGTGATCCAATTTGCAAATTTCACTATCTCTGGGTTACTACCATTGCTTTTAGTGTCCATAAATCCATCAAGGGGTCCAACTTGGCCTGTGTAATTTGCCTGATAAGGTAAGTTGGTAGTATTAAGAGTCGAAAGGACAGAGTTCAAGAAACTCTTGAGTGACTTTATCATTGGTTAAAGCCTTGATTGTTTGTTTAAAGAAAATGGTAATAACATCTCTTTAACTTCATACAACCTGCAGAGTTTTTCAAAACAGTTGACTTGACCTCTGCCCAGCTTTCAGTGCCACTAAACAGCCAATTTGTCATTGTGGTTTTTGTTCTTTCTCTTCTCAGACATTAACCTCTCTGGCCAAGCTGATGAAAGAATGCTGGTATCAAAACCCATCTGCAAGACTCACAGCTCTGCGTATCAAAAAGACTTTGACCAAAATTGATAATTCCCTAGACAAATTGAAAACTGACTGTTGACATTTTCATGGTGTCAAGAAGGAAGATTTGATGTTGTCGTTGTCCAGCTGGGACCTAATGCTGGCCTGCCTGGTTGTCAGAACAGAACTCATCTGTCTCCCTCCCTCAATGGCCACTTTGACGAGGCAGACATCTCACCTAGCCATGTGCTGGGGAGACACCAAAACCACCCCAACCTCGCTCAATGACTGTGAACTGGGCATTTCATGAACTGTTCACACTTCAAAGACTAATGGTGGACAGATACTGTTGCAAAGGTAGGGAACTGGAGGAACACAGAGAAATCCTAAAAGAGATCTGGGCATTAAGACAATGGCTTTGCATATCTTTCACAGGTCTCCTAGACACTCCCCACGGGAAACTCAAGGAGGTGGTGAATTTTTAATCAGCAATATTGCCTGTGCTTCTCTTCTTTATTGCACTAGGAATTCTTTGCATTCCTTACTTGCACTGTTACTCTTAATTTTAAAGACCCGACTTGCCAAAACTTTGGCTGCGTACTCCACTGGTCTGTCTTTGGATAATAGGAATTCAATTTGGCAAAAACAAAATGTAATGTCAGACTTTGCTGCATTTTACACATGTGCTGATGTTTACAACGATGCCGAACATTAGGAATTGTTTATACACAACTTTGCAAATTATTTATTACTTGTGCACTTAGCAGTTTTTACAAAACTGCTTTGTGTGTATGTTAAAGCTTATTTTTATGTGGTCTTATGATTTTATTACTGAAATGTTTTTAACACTATACTCTGAAATGGACATTTTCTTTTATTATCAGTTAAATTCACATTTAAATGCTTCACATTTGTATGTGTGTAGACTGTAACTTTTTTTTCAGTTCTTATGCAGAACGTATTTAGTCATTACCCATGTGACACCACCGAATATATTACTGATTTAGAAACAAAGATTTCAGTAGAATTTTAGTCCTGAACGCTGTGGGGGAAAATGCATTTTCTTCGGAATTATCCATTATGTGCATTTAAACTCTGCCAGAAAAAAATAACTATTTTGTTTTAATCTACTTTTTGTATTTAGTAGTTATTTGTATAAATTAAATAAACTGTTTTCAAGTCAATCAGTGGAATTATTTTCAACATATAAAGATCTGTGTAATATAATGTGTTTTCTTATGGGAGCAATAGAAACTGAAAACTAATTTGAAAATTGAATTTGCTTTCCAAGGCGAGTAATGAACCTGAGGGTACTATGAGGATGTCTTGCTGCTTGAATTTGGTACCTAAAAATTTGAGTTTTATGTTTCTCTTTTGTGATTTTCCCTCTCAGTTTCCTGAACTTGATGATAACAAGCCTCTCTGACATATGTATGTATATATAAGATTTTGTTTATCTTTCCATCCAGTCATCATTTATCAAAGGTGGTTGTGAGTATAAAAGTGAAGAAAGATGGCAAAAGCATTTATGTAGCTTAAGGTCCAAGGATATGCAGAACCCATTCTTAGCTCTTTTTACTTCTTGTGCACAACAGGATTAAAAAGGCAGGGATTAGAGTAGGCCATAAAGAGAAGAGGGGTAAAAACTCTAGAGTGTCCTTCAGAGGGAGGTCAGTTGGTTCATTAGCATGCACTTACTTGGAGGGTATATAGCAGAGTTACATTTAGCTTTTTAAATTAAAATTTTAATTCATGTTACACTTAAAATTTACTATCTTAAATTTTAAGTAAGCACTTCAATGGTGTTAAGTACATTCGCATTCTTATGCAAATCTCCATCATCCATCCACAGACTGTTCATCTTGTAAAACTGAAACTCCATACCTATTAAGTGCTAGCACCCCACCAACCTCCCCTATGATTTTGTTCTCTGTTTCTGTAAGTTTGTCCATTCTAATTTCCCTATACAAGTGAATCATATGGTATTTATCCTTTTGTGAGACCAACTAACTTCATGTAGCATAAGGACTTCAGGATTCATGCACATTGTAGCATATGTCCAAATTGTCTTCCTTTTTCGAGCTGAATAATATTACATGTATGCATATACAAAATTTTGTTTATCCAGCCATTCATTCACCCCTTGGTGGATGCTTAGGTTGCTTCCACATTTGACTGTTGTGAATAACACTGTGAGTGGATTGTTGATTTCAATTCTTTTACTTATACATTGAGAATTGGAAGGAAGACACATTTAACTTTATTAAAATATTATATATTTACATAAAAGTATACATATGTAAAAAGGTACAGCTTGATGAATTTTGGTAAATTATTTTTTTTAGTTGGTTACATCCATGGAAATAGCACTCAGGTCAAGAAACCAAACACTACCAGCACCTCAGAACTCTCTCAACTGTTAACAGCATAGGTTACGTTTGTTTGTGCTGGAACACTTTACAAATGGAATCATACAGTATATATGTAGGAGTGGAATCATCAGGTGTAATGTTCCACTTCAGCAGCTAATTACCAATCTACTTTTTTTATTTATTTTGGTACCAAGGATTTAACCTGGTGGTGCTTAATCACTGAGCCACATCCCCAGCCCTTTTTATTTTTTATTTTGAGACAGAGTCTTGCTAAGTTGCTTAGAGCCTTGCTAAGTTGCTGAGGTTGGTCTTGAACTTGTGATCCTCCTGTCTCAGCCTACCAAGTTGCTGGGATTATAGGCATGCACTGCCACACCTAGCTACCAATCCATTTTTAAACAGAGTTGTTCAGTGTATGCTCTCATCAGCTATGTATGAGAGTTCTGGATGTTCTACATTTTCAGCAATACTTAGTAGTTTCTTCTTTTCCATTTTAGTCATTCTGGTGGGTGTTGTACACATGTTTCAGCAAAACAAAGAAACAAAAGGGAGAGGATGAGTAAATGACAGTTTAAATAGTGCTTGCCGTTCTCCTTAGTAACTGCAGAACCCAAGTGGAGAGAAGCTCCAAGATATAAACAAACAGGTCTTGGTTCCCATGTGCTGAGTAAGTGTGAGTATAGTATTTAGTGGTTCACATAAGTTTTTTATGCAGCCTGGCCCTTGAATAGTCAATGATGTCTTCATCTGGTAATCACCTGTGGAGCATGGCTGCTTCAACTCTGGAGGATAATCTGGCTGTGTAGACGAACACATTATATGAGGGTCTCAAATTGGTCTTATTTTTAAGTCATTTGACCCCATCTGATTCCCCTTGTTTACTGACTTTGAAATCTAACCCCAGTTAATATTTCCATATTTAAGGTGACTGGGAACATGTATGAAGTGAGAAGAGGAAACATGTGGGTCTCTCAAGTAAAGCAGTTTATGTGGATTCATGCCATCTTAGTCTGATGTGCCAAGCCTAGACCTTTTGATTCCAAGTCCAGAGTCTTCTCTGGCCATGAATCAGTCCTCAAAGTTGAGGTCTACCTTTGTTCACATTGGGCCACTCACATTCTCTGAGCTGCATAGCCACCAGTGAGAATTCTGTGATGAGGACATATTTGATTTGCTCCATTTTTTAAACAAGGACTCCTGGTTGTTTTGGTTTTGAGACAGGCTATCTCCTAGGTTGTTCTCAAACTCAGGGCTCAAAATGACTCTCCCACATCAGCCTCTGGAGTACTGGGACTAGAGGCACACACAGCTAAGATTTTTATGTTTTGTTTTTATTTCTGCTATTCTGCAGTCCTAGGGATGAAACTCAGGGCCTTGTGTATGCTAAGCAAGCACTCGACCGCTGAGCTTCATCCTTAGCGCATTCCTAGTTGTTTTCAAATACAACAGAGATGTCCTATATTCAAATATTTATTAAGAAAACACAGGTAGGCTGTCACAAAACTTCTCATAGGCATTCTTCCAGACTGTTTCTCAGCTTAAAACCCGCCCTTGATGTTATATGCATGTATGAAATTTTCACAAATAAACCCATTTTTAAAAATGATTTTATGCACTATTAATTGTACTTCTAAAAACCTACCCTTTCATGCACCATTTTGTCAGGCTTTGTGACTCCATCAACTTGGAGTGACTCCTGCCATCTGCTTCCTGTTCTGTCAGAATCACCCCAGCCTCCCTTCTTGACCTCAGCAGTGGTAGTTCATTTCAGTAGCAGCAGAGTCTCAGGCCAGTTGGCAGTTGTTCTAATGTTTGCAGAAACAGCCTTATTGTGGCCTCACTTCACAGATACTAAACACCAAGGACTGGGTTCCACTCTTTAGAAGACAAGATCCCAGCCACTTCTAAACTCAGAGACACCAGCTCAACCCAGCGCTGCAGCTCTGTAGGTGGGGATCCCATTAAACCTCTCCATTGTAATAATTCTACCCCCTTCCTTTGTTCCTCCAGGCTCAGGGGCACACTGCCTTGCCTAGTCGCTTCCTGCACGCTAACGTTAAGGTTGTCATTTTGTTCTTTTTCCAATTACTAATTGTTAGTCCTAATGAATTATTCTCTGTACTAAAAAATATGGAAAGATGGGTGTGCTTTGTCTCCAAAGTGGACTCATACTGATATAAGCATTATCTTCTTCTTATACCTCTTTGCTGATGTTTTCTAACATCATGGGTAGCATATACCCCCAATTTACAGAGGAGAAGACTGAGACAGTAGTTAAGTCTAATTGTTCAACTAAGTAGAAACAGAACTAAAATTGGATTCTTAAGTTTTTAAGCCAGAGGCTCAGTTACCTGTGACTCTCTTGCCATCCTCCCCTCCCAGTTTACAACCCCCACCTAGAAGAAGGACTAAGAAATAGAGGGCCTTTACTGTTGATCTGGCCTTTACTGCTTCTTTCTTTCTCTCCCTCCCCTCCCCTCCCCTCCCTTCTCCTCTCCTTCCCTCCCCTCCTCTTCCCTCTCTTCTCTTCCTCTCTCCTCTCTTCCAGAGAATTATAGTTACACATATGGGGTTCATCCTGAGAAAATCGTACATGCATAGAGTCTGACTCACTCCATTTCAGTCTTTATTCCTCCCTTTGTCTCCCCTTCTCTTCCCCAGCTCCCCTCCACTGACACCCCCCTTGCTCATCCATTTATCCACCCTTGATTGGTGCTTACCACACACAGGAAGGTGTCCCTGTGGGGTATATTTATAGATGCACATAATTTGAGTCTGTTAAATTAATCCTGCATTGCTTCCCCTTTCCCATCTCTCCTCTGTCCCTTTTGATCTCCTGCTACTCCACCGATTTTCTCCATATCTTTATGATATCCAATTCTGCCCCCACCCCCATCCCCAGGCACACTGCTTTCCCTTATTTTGGTCTAGTTTCCATATATGGGACCAGATTCTTCCCTTGGTTTTCTGAGTCTGGCTTATTTTACTTAGCATGATATGCTCCATTTCCATCCATTTACCAGCAGCCATGATGTCATTCTTCTTTATGGTTGAGTAGAACTCCATTGTGTATATATACCATATTTTCTTTTTTTTTACTATGTTTCTTAGTCCATTCATTTATTAATGAGTGTCTGGGCTGATTCCATAGTATGACTATTGTAAATTGCACTGCTATAAATATTGAAGTGACTATATTGCTATAATAGGCTGATTTTAGTTATTTTGGATAAATATCAGGGAGTGAGATAGCTAGTAATGGGATAGTGCCATTCCATAATGCTTTTCCAGAGTGGTGGTGCAAATTTGTAGTCCTACCAACAATGTATGAGTGTTCGTTTTCTTCATATCTTCACCAGGAATTATTTTCTATTTGTAATCTTGACAGTTGCCATTCTGACTGGAGTGGGATGAAATCTTAGTGTAGCTTTTGATTTGCATTTCTCTGATTGCTACAAATGTGGAACATTTTTTTCATGTATTTGTTGGCCATGTATATTTCTTCTTTTGAGAAATGCCTGTTTAGTTCTTTTGCCCATTTATTGATTGGGTTATTTGTTAGACTGGTGTTGTTTTTTAAATTCTTTATATACTCTGGGTATTCATCCCCTGTCAGAAGAGCAGCTGGCAAAATTTTTCTCCCATTCTGTGGGCCCTCTCTTCACACTCTTGATCCTTTTCTTTGCTGTCCAGAAACTTTTCAGTTTAATGGCATCCTACTGCCTGGTCCTTGGTTTTCTTTCTTGAGTTTTAGCGGTCTTGTTAAAGAAGTTGGTGCCTGCACCAGTAGGATGAAGTGTTGGTCTTGTTTT